ATATATGACTGATCCCCCTACCCAGCACCCCACGCCCAATGAGATCTTCTAAGGGTTAATGAAGAACTTACTGTTGGAGTGATGTTAATGTGGGAAAATAAAGCATTGCTCATTCTGAGACAGCAGGTAAATTACACAAGATAAGGTACAATGGTAAGATACACAACAAAGCTTTTATTTGGAAAAGGATTACAGAAAAACGCGTAAAACATAATTAGGGATCTAATGGTTTGTTCATAACTTGTGGTCTTTAAACTCTCTAAAGCGGTGTTTTAAAAGAGCAAAACTCTTATTAATTGTTCACATCCTTTTCACAGAAGCCCTGTTTGAAAGCTCTGAGCTGTAAACAGGTCCCTGATGGTTTCTCTGTGTTATTTACAGCACTCAGAGTGTGTGATCCTGCTCCGCAGTACCTTTACAGGCCCCAGAGGCTCAGCGTCTGTCGCCTCTGACTTCAACACAGCCCCTGCTCTTTCAGGCACCAAGCTCTCTGCAAGCCGGGTCCCACGACACTGTGTCACATGAGCACAAAAATCACTATATTTTTGAAGGAAGGAGCCATCTGAGAATGCCTTTTTATGACACCTTAATCAAAGTGATGTATTTTAGCTGGAGTTTTGTGCCTTCATAAGGGACTTGTCATATTGAAAACATAAAAAAAGTTTTTTTAACATAAAGCAAAGATGATCATTTGAACTGAGCCAACAGCACGAGGTAGTAACAAAAGCTAAAAAAAATACAGTAATTAAACTAATAACCTTGTTTATTGTGTACTTTGCTTTAAAATCCATCAGGCAGAAATCGACCCTTAAGACTTCAAAAACAGACTTTTGTGTGATAAAACTTAAAAATATTTACTTTGTTTTGGAAAAAAGTTCAAGAAACTTCATGTTTACTTTGAAAAAAATCAGAATCTCAGAAGAAAAGCTTCAGTTTGCCTGTTGTTGAAGCTTCCAGCATAACTTGTAATTTACATTTCCGCTTCAGGCCGCCCGACGGCGTGAGGAGCCGTCTGAGCTGTCCGGGGTGCTGAACGTGCTGAAGAGCCGCGTCAAGCCGCCAGACGGCGCGAGGTGCCGACTGAGCTGTCCGGGGTGCTGAAGATGCAAAAGAGCCACTTCAGGCCGCCGGACAGCGCGTGGGGCCGAAGGAGCTTTCCGGGGTGCTGAAGGTGCAGAAGAGCCGCTTCAAGCCGCCGGACGGCGGGTGGGGCCGACGGAGCTGTCCGGGGTCCTGAACGTCCCCCGTGAGGCCGCCGGACGGAGTGAGGTGCCGACGGAGCTGTCCGGGGTGCTGGAGGTGCAGAAGAGCCGGTCTGGCCGGCGGACGGCGCGAGAAGCCGATGGAGCTGTCCAGGGTGCTGAAGGTGCTGAAGAGCCACGTCTGGCCGCCGGACTTCGGGTGGGGCCGACGGAGCTGTCCGGGGTGCTGGAGGTGAAGAAGAGCCGGTCTGGCCGGCGGACGGTGCGAGAAGCCGATGGAGCTGTCCAGGGTGCTGAAGGTGCAGAAGAGCCGCATCTGGCCGCCGGACAGCAGATGGGGCCGACAGAGCTGTCCGGGGTGCTGAACATGCTGAAGAGCAGTGTCAGGCCGACGGACRGCGCGAGGGGCCGACAGAGCTGTCCGGGGTGCTGAAGGTGCTGAAGAGCCGCTTCAGGCCACTGGACRGCGCGAGGGGCCGACGGAGCTGTCCGGGGTGCTGAACCTGCTGAAGAGCAGCTTCAGGTCGCCCGATGGCGCGAGAAGCTGACRRAGCTGTCCAGGGTGCTGAACTTGCTGAAGAGCAGCGTCAGGCCGCCAGACGGCGCAAGGGGCCRACGGAGCTGTCCGGGGTGCTGAACCTGCTGAAGAGCAGCTTCAGGCCGCCCGATGTCGCAAAGGGCCGACGGAGCTGTCCGGGGTGCTGAAGATGCAAAAGAGCCTTGTCTGGCCGCCAGATGGCGCGAGAAGCCGATGGGGCTGTCCGGGGTGCTGAAGGTGAAGAAGAGCCGCTTCAGGCCGCCGGACGACGCGTGAGGTCGACGGAGCAGACCGGGAAGCTGAAGGTGCAGAAGAGCCGCGTCTGAGCGCCGGACGGCGCGAGGGGCAGACGGAGCTGTCTGGGAAGCTGAAGGTGCAGAAGAGCCGCGTCTGGCTGCCGGACAGCGCAAGGGGCCGATGGAGCTGTCCGGGGTGCTTTTTGCCGTTCTCATAGAACATTGACTAGTGCAAACAGCAGCAGCAGCTAGCTGTAGCTGCACTTCCAGCTCAGCCTGGGACACAACCAGCAGGATTACATTGGCTGAAATAACAGTGAAATGTGATCGCAGTGTAAAAGTTTAAAAAATAATAATGTTCCTTTGAGGATTGAAATTGTTTTGAGATGCACAGACTGGAATTAAAAGTAAATTAAGCAAAATAATTTCCATCTTTTGTCATCTTAATACAGATTATAATTCTAAATTTTGTTTGTTTAAGCAGTAACTTTGAAACATTTACACCACCTTCAGTTTCACATCAGTTATTTTTAACAGAACCTCAGAATGTCTGAAATGTCCCTTTTTATTGCCCGAGGCTCTGAATTGACTCAATCCCCTTTTTATTATTAAATTTTTGGAATCTGGTTTAGTTTTTATGTGACATCTATAATTTGGTTTCACATTTTTATTTAAATCTAAGATATTTATTTGCACATTTTTGTACAACTCCTGTTTCTGACTTTGATGTTTTTTTGTAATTTATTGACAGTAAAGCTGAAGGGCCTGGTAGATACAGGTATTTAGAATGTAGGAGAATGACATAAAGGAACAATCAAGTCTTTAAGTGTTTAAACTTTCAGAATGAAATATTGCACCACTTGTAGAACTCACATCAAACTAATAATCTCCCTCCATGAGTTAGACTCCTGTACGCTGAGCTCGTCTGCTCAGACTGGCGTTTATTTCCCCTCTGGATATTTTTCACACTCTATTGTTGCTTTTGCCATGAAGTGTGAGAACATTGTAATTTAATGAGTTTGCATGTTGTGTGCCTTGTTGTGAAATTAGTGTCAGTTTGGTTTTCCTTCAAAGGAAAGGAGTTTGATTTGTTCAAAGCAGGAAGTGAAGCTGGAGCGGCTGCTTCAGACACGTTTAGTAAAATGCTTTCATCTGTAATATCTATGTGTGTGTGTGTGTGTGTGTGTGTGTGTGTGTGTGTGTGTGTGGCCTTTTACCTGCACAAAATACAGGGAGGGATGTTCATTCTCATAAATATTACACATTTTCACCTCAACCAGAGAATTGGTGATTAACGTTTCAATTACTGGATCTGATCAGGTGGTTTTTATTTTATATATTTAGCTGCATATCTGATAAACATTCCACTGAATAAATACATCATGAATCTGGAATACATCATCGTCAAACTTCACTTTTTAAAACCTTAATTTGAAGTAAAGGCAAGAGAGAAGACCTGTGAAGAGATAAAAAGTATATTGTGAGATGTCTGCGTTCCAGTTTCTCCCTGTTGAATCATGCATGTTGCGTGTAATTTCATGTATCCTCTTCGTGTAGCTCACCTATCGCAGACGACTTGTAATTAATCGGGCTGCCCCCCGGAAAAACAACAAAACAAGACAAAACACAAACACGCGAGTTATTTTGGGCGCCTCCTGCTCCAAACTTCTGCAAATAATCGAACAAAGCAATTAAGTGGTTAAAGCAGCCGAGTGTTCTCGTGCGAACACCTTTGTGAGAGTTGGCGGCTCATTATGAAGCAGCAGATTATTCACAGAAAGCCTTTTAATTAACAAGTGGGTTGTGAGATGTGCTAATTAGGAAAGCAAAGAAAAGGTTTGTAAATGTGTTCAGTTTAACCAACATGTCATCAGCAAATTAGTCGACAAAACAAACACATTTTATATTTTTATTTATTTAACATTGTTTTCTTAGAATATCAGTATAGCATTATAATTAATAGTTTGAATAAAATATTGAGATAAAATTTGACCTTTTTAATGTTAAGTAAATACAATTYATCGCTCAGTTAAGTATGAAAAATTCCTACAATGTATAAATATACATATTAACAATAATAATGTAAAAATCTTTCAATGACATTTGGCACAAAGAAGCATTAAACTCAGTATGTAACACATGATGCTGCTGATATGTTGTAAAATATTAATGTTTAGAAAAGRTCAACAGATTTTTTTAAATCTGAAAGCTTAAAAATTCAGGAGAAAAAAGTAGAAATGTATCAAAAGTGGTTATGATAACACTGCATGTGTCAGGTTTAAAGTTGTAAACAGCTTTTGAAAAARTATTAAGAAAACTTGAAATTGTTCCACCTGAATTCTCAAAGAGTGTCATAGAGATTAAAATACTTTGGTTACAGAACACATGGCTTTCTTTTTGAGCATTTCCTTCTTTAATCTAAAGATCTAATGTGTGTGTGTGTGTGTGTGTGTGTGTGTGTGTGTGTG